GATCAATTACATATTTGTTCCTGATAAATTATATGGGCGTTCATGATGCATGCTAAAGGAAATAACATAGGTAAGTCTCCCCAATTTTTGTCCAAACTTTAATTCCATAGAGTATATAATTGCGCTAAAATTGGGGTCATTTTTGTATTTATGAAATATTCTTGCAATTATATAAAGACATTCAAGTACCATAAGTTAGTGAGATAGTAAACTCTAGATAAAATATTTATAGTGTCATAAAACCTGTCAAAAAAAATTTATGTTTTAAAGCTAAAAGCCAATCGGATTCATTCAAAATAATATCATCATCGTTTCTAATATGCCTATTGTTATAAAAGTCAGTTATTAAATGTTTAAAACATTCGCATGACTTTAGTAATAAGTGAAGTTCCATCTATGACATACGTCGTTAACAAATATTTTAGCATTCGTCACCACAATTTGGGCACAAAGTTCAGCAATGCTTGTTTTCTATTAGGGGAAATCGTGATATGTATTAGTGCATTCCTAATTATTTGTATTTCATCTTTAATATGTTTCAAACTAGCTTGCTCAATTAAATTTAAAATATGGCACACACAACAAATATGAAACAAATAACCAACGAAATCAAGCTGCAATGCCCTACACAATTTATCAATAACTACTTTAATAACAATAGCGTTGACAAATGTAAAATAACGAATTTTACTTTCTCAACAATATTCCCTAATAATAATCATAATCGCATTATATATATTGTTAGCGTTATGAGGGAATTCAATAATTTTAAAAGCAATAATAGTTTATGCACACACCAAAGTTGGTCTATATAATGTGCAATTACAACTATATAATCTCTTTTATTAAGTTCTTTTATTAATCTCTTCCCATATCTCCAAAGTTAAAGATATAACACCCTCATATTTTTGCAAATCCAAAATCAATTGTTGGTTTATTTGAAGAAAATATTCTACTGTGTCTAAACGAAGAGTGTTTTGAGTTACTTCAACGTACCTCGATTGAAGATATTCTTTCACGTATGAGATGAAATATTCGTCTTCCGCTATCGCAAGAGGTAACTCAGCACCAGCAACAAGTTTCACCATTCTCTTTCGAGCATTCTCATCTGAATACATCCACGTGGTGAGGGGTGAAGTTGTAAAATCGACATCTGGACTACCAAATTACAATTGTGTTTAACCGGCCTCAAGAAGTCCATGTTTGGCCGCATATACTTTGTAGTGACGGTTGAGGTGGGCGGTACCAATGCCTTTTTGCCATGCTAATCGCTGTTGGTAGTATTTACATACTACTTTGGACTCTGAAACTCCATCGATAACACAACCCATTGAAATCAATATGAAGTGATCCCAACATTATACCTATTTTTCCCTTTCGATTTTCTCTAGCATCAAGAATGTCTAATCGAGTTCCTCTTATTGTCCTGCTTTGGGAATGTTGACATCATCCAAATAAATTGGATTATTGTTTCCTTCCACAACCAAATTTGGAATATCTTCACGAAAGGGTACTTCATTTAGACTAAAAGATTTATTCCAATATTGACTTTGCAGCATCACAAGTGATTCACCTCCGACATAAAACAAGCCCTCAACAAATGAGTATGGATCCATTTGTGAATTGTGATTAAATAAAAACATACAATATAGATGATATAGTAAGACATAAGTACTAAGACTTAAGTAAAGAGTACGAAATTAAAATTGTGAATTTATAGTGTGGAAAATGAGAATTGAATGAATTGAAATTCTATTATTGAAATTGAAGATGATGAAGTTGTAAAAATGAATGTTTATTGTATAATTGTTGATAATTGAGCATAAGATATATTGAGATTGAGATAATTGTGAAAAGATTGTTTGAAATCATGGCTATTTATTGAGCAAAAAAAAAACAGTAACCGAAATGGTCACTGATGAAAGTTCAGTGACCATTGCAACAGTCACTCAACTATGTACACTGTTTAATAACGAGCCACTAGCCTAGACTCGTGGCTC